CTTTGCCAAGAACATCCCAAATGGGGTCACAGAGAGTTGGACATAACTAAAATGAACAAACAACTACAACACAAACATGTTCTATGCCTTCCTGCCTCCATGATTTTGTTCATGTCATTCTCTATGTCTGGGATGCTCTTCTACCTAGCTCTTCTCTCCCATTATCCAAGGCTCCATTCACATGCTGTCTTCTCCATGAAGCTTTTCTTGATTCTCTTCTGAGGTCTTGCTTTCTTCTTCTGAGGTATCCCTACTCTGACCCATCCCATCTCACATTTCCCAGCACTCTGTACCTCTTCTCTATACTCATTACAATCTGCTTTTTTTTTTTTTTGGTTTTATTTCCTGTATCATACTACAAGCTTCTTGAAGACATTAGTATGCTTTATCCTTCTCTTTCCCCCTCAGCGCTGGGCATAGAACAAATAGAACTACTTAACAAATGAATAACTTAATGAACAAACCATCACTGTTTTAATAAACGCTTCTTTTAGCATTGCATCCTATCAAGTGGCCCGGGCTTGTAGGCAGGGTTTCATCTTGTTCATTTTGGAAGATGAAGTAACAACTGAGAGCCCTCTTTCTCCTTGTGGTACTTAGGGTCATAGGAAAATGGTTAAGTAGGGATCTCTTTGGAGCCAAGGAATGTCCTTCCAAGACCATGTCACAACAATGAGAGATTCATAGAATCTCCGAGCTGGAAGAGAGCCAGGAGATCATCCAGTTCAACCTGTACTCACACAGAAATCCCTTTTGCAACATCTCTGACAAGTGTTCATCCAGGCGTCCCTGGAACATCTCCAGTAATAGGGAGTCTATTATCTTCTTAGGCAGTCCAATCTACTTTTGGAAATTTTTCCTCATGTGAAGCAGAAATCTATATCTCCAACTTCTATTCATTGCTCCTAGATCTGTCTCCTGGGTCCAAGTAAAAGAAATTGAATCTCTTTCCTACATGAAAAATTTTCAGAAACTATTACATCTCTTAGGAGAGATATTAAGAATTTTCTATTATTCTTCAGGCTATCCACTCCCATATTCCTCCAAGTACTCCATGTATGGCATGATATCTAGCCTATTCCAAATTGGTTGCCCTATTCTGGATGTGCTCTGATTTGTCAATGTTTTTCCTAAAATTTGGTGAGGTGTTTTAACAATCTCTTAGTATGCCATTCCCTCCAGATGTCTACCCAAGACAGGAAAGATCCTGCTAAGGCAGGGACCAACCAGATATTAATCTAGGATCTTGTAAATATTTTACTTAAGACATTTCCCAAATCAGCCATTCAGGAGATGTTTCCTTGTGATACTCTCAACCTTGTCAGGACGTAGAATTTCCAAACATTTGTCATTTTCACTCAGAGAAAAGGAAGAACATTGAAAAGCCTAGTCTAGATGACTAAAATGGTTAGAATGGGATAAGAAAGAAGGGGGAAATAATGAGATCAGAGAGAAAAGTAGTTTATCAATTTATCATTGGAACATATGAACAGTAAATTTTATAAGGCTCTTGCTTGATGAACAGACTGCTTCTCTGTTGCCTTCTGGAACTGGAAGCTAAGGAAGTTGTATAGAGTCAATGCTTTCACAGTCATTCACATCACAGATGTATTCTTATCCCTGAGTAGGCAATTTTTAATGATGCTAAATAAGATAAGCTGAAATTCCCTCCCACCCTCTCCTCAAAGGGGAAGATGGTTTTCTCTGTTTCTAGACGAACAGATAATGTCTTTATAAGGATAAGGGAGGCTGATAGTTTGTAGGAACCATGCTGGTGGGGCTAAAATAATGGCCTATGTCCATTCCTGTGATGACAATGGTGATGGACCAACTTAGGCTCCATGGATAATGTATGAGAAGCAGGAGGGCATATTTCCTAACCTGGAACCATCAGTCACCCCTCCACACTCTAGAAAGTGCCAGTGCCTCTCAGGCAGACAAATTTGAGCAAGTGCTGCTGTTTGCACTGCAGAAAGTATATTCTCAGTGTATCATATTTCTTATGCTGTAACATCAATCCTAGAAGCTGGTGAAATGGAAGATACAGAGTGTGTTGAGACCAAGGAGATGTATATGCATGATACAAAATCCCTAGCTTTCACTTGGCTTGGAAGGGTCTGGTTGGAGCCTGAATCTTCTGACATCATTTGCTGAGAGAACTGGAGGTGTCTTCACTGTGTATGGATTCTCCCAAATCAGATCAGATTTTTAAAAATAATTCACTGAGAGTGGTTTACAGATAGACATAACCCAGATTCTGCCCTGGGGTCGGCACTGCACAAAACTAAACAAGCCCTGAAAAATGGATTTGTCACACTTATGTGAGCCTAAGTGGTGTGGAAGCCAGGATGGCCTGTGAGAAACAGATGACATCACAGCCTTGAGATGGCCCATAGACTGAAATTTTTGGGTAAAATTTGGTTCCTAGTGCATAAGTTGTGGTGCTAAATATGGAGAAATAAGTACTCACTGAGCACATTTGCAAAAAAACAAACAAAAAAAATCCCCTGATGAAAGCTGAGATAAGGGACTAGAATCTATTTCATTGGGGTTTCTGGGTAAGCTTCTTGTTTGAAATGCATCTTCCCTTAATCTTGCTTTTCATTGGTCTACACCTCCATTGTTATCATGTCATCTATTCTGATGCTTATAGCTAAACAGACCATTTCAGAAATTTTTTATACATGATGGTCACTAGAATGAAAGGGGGAGATTAAGTTCTCCTGAAGAGGTAACTTTACTAATTTCTGCCTACTCTGCTATTAGAAACACATAATGGAATATAATTAGGGCATTACTGGGGATTACAATTAGGTATGATGTGCTGGCTGTCACTGTTAATAGCACCAATAGCCATGCTAACTCTACTGCTAGTTAGCCGTCCAGAAAATGTGTTACACCATCTTTTTGAAATGTAGTAAGAATTCTTGCTAACAAAAGACCAGCTTCACTGTGGGTCCAGAAGCTCTTCCTTCTCTTATAACCAATACTCTTTTGCTCATTGATTAAAAATATTCCCCTACATAACAGGGGCCTCTGAGAGCCTGTTCCTGCTGACTGCCTCGTTTGAGAAGAACCAGGCTGTCCCCCAGACCAGTGGTCTTCAAACTATTTGATCACTCACAGGGATGTGCTAGAACCAGCTCTAAATGATATTGTTAAATTTTCAGTGTGAGAATTTGTCTATCAGAAATCAGCATTCACTACAGGTCAGGGCTTCATTTATTGTTTTGTGGATTGTCTAGACTTAAGAGTATTAATAATGCAGATTAAATTTATAAGTATATGCTTTTCCAGAGAATCTGGTTGTTAAAAATTTACCAGCACAGCCATGATTATACACCTTTATCAATAAAATATTTTTGAGTATGTACCTCCAATATATGTATATTTATTTATAAATTTTATATATGCACTATTAGGTATATTATAAAACATTTGCAAAAATAGGAATTAAAAATGAATAAACTATTTGAAAATTCATTTTACTTAGTAACAATACAAAATTTTCTATCACTAAAATTTACACACATGCATATTTAGTGAGAACTATGTGAATGAATTGTTCAGTTCAGTTGTTTCAGTTGTGTCTAACTCTCCATGACCCCATGTGGGATTTTCTTGGCACAGATACCGGAGTGGTTTTGCCATTTCCTTCTCCAGTTCATTTTACAGATGAGGAACCAGAGGCAAACAGGGCTAAGTGACCTGCCCAGGGTCACACAGCTAGTAAGTGTAGGAGCCCAGATTTGAACTCAGGAACAGGAATCTTCCTGACTCCACACCAGGTACTCTACGCACTATGGTGCCACCTAGCTGCCCCATGTGATTGAATAAGGATAAGAATAGGGCCAGGACCTGTGATTTCATTGGTACAAGGCGCTCTTTGGTAAGGAAACTCTCTCTACCAATGCAGGCTAGCATTTTTTATTTTTATTTTTTGCAGTATCACCTTGGAGAGTTGCCTGGAGCACCAGGAGGGCGACTTCCCCAGGGTCACACAGCCAAGAGGTGTCAGAACCAGGTTTTCCTGGTTTCAAAGCTAGCTCTTTATCCACTATGTGACGCTGCCTCCATGACCATTTGTGACCGAATATGCTTCAATATTTTGGAAATTCTTGATTAACTCTTTATGACACAGTGATTTGAAGGTCTGGTCTACAGTCAGTTTATTTTGATACTTAATTTTAGTACTTGAAAAAATACTTTACAAAGCTATGCAGACATCAATGGAAGACGTACAACATTAGCCAAGCTTACTAAATTATCATACTTGTGTTTTCATTCCCCTAGGCACCCTTCACCTTTCTCCCTCCATAAAAGTTTTTATTGAAATTTGGCTAGTGGACTTCCATTTTCCCTGATGTAAATCAGTTGTTCTTATAAACCAATTGAAAGGCATTGCATGTTTATCTTTTTAAAAAAGGGTTCAAAACACGTTGACAACCTCTTGATTTGTAATATCTTTAAAATAGGTTACAAAATTCTGTTTCCAAAATTGAAAAACATGCAGTAGATCTCTTTTAAAGGCAACTTTATAGAGTAGGGCAAGAGCATTGGGCTGGGAATCAGGAGGAGCTGGCTCAAATTCTGCCTTTGATTAATTACTGTGTGACCAGAGGCAAGTCACTTAACCTCTCTGACCCTTAGTATCCTCATCTGACTTAGACAAGATGGCCTCAATAGTCTCTTTACAACTCTAAATTTATATTCTTACGATAAAAAGTTTATAGGTGACACATTTAGATATTTTGTGGCAATGAAAGCTTAGTTTTTAAATGTTGCTAATTTTTATGGCTTATTACCATCATTAGTTAATATTTCAAGGAAATTACTAAGAATTATAATAGTAGATGTGACTCCATATTTCAAATTATCTTGATAATTTCACAAATCTTTGGCCGACTTCTTGTTAGATTTGATTAGACTGTCAATGTTTGTAGTTTACATTGTGACGGCTGAGTTAGCGGTACGTAGGCTCAGTGTCAACTCTATTATCTTCTTGTTACTTGTTTATGCTTGCATTATTAGTTATTTTTTGCAGGAATATTTTAAAGGCCCTTGTTCATTTTGTGAAAGCTAATTTAGTTAAAACTAGATAATGTAATCCATTTAACCAAACACATATATATTGTACCTTATTGTAAGATGCTGAAAGTTAATCAAGTGAGAGTACCACTATCAATCCTTCCACGTTATGGAATTCTTGCTCTTACATTAGGAGACCTCACATAACTTATATGACCATCTGACATATAGATCGAGTGAGGGTGCCAGGATAAATATTTATATTAAATATTAACAAAGTTTAATTTATTTTCAAGATAAAATCAATATAAATAGAAGTTATAATATAATTTTCCCACATTCTAATGGACTGTCTTGCACAACCTCCATCTTGGAGATCATTGTCTTTGACCACATATATTATCCAAAATAACAAAGCCACCATACACAAATCTCTACTCAGACATAGTGCTGAACAGGGAAGATGGGCTGTCGAATCGCTGCCATCAGCACCAAATCTATTATTAGGTAGGTTTTCTTTTATATTCTAGCTCAGTCTTCTAGGAGAAGGTAAAGAAAATAATGTCATTGTAGATGACTGGGGCTGGCCAAAAAATACAGTCTTAACTGAAACCTAGCTCAGTGCACTCTGACTCCTAATAAGGCCAATTTCATTGATTTATTGTGTCTTCTTGCACCTGAATGTCCCAGAGGGCACAGATTGTATCTTTTGTGATGGGTTGCACAGACTTCTTATATGCTCAGTGCCCAAGAAACATACATTTTTGAAGGTCCTAGGCAAATGACTTTAAGACTTAGAAGGTTTTTCCAAGTTTGGATGTTGGATTATTCTCATGTACTTACTCATTGATTTAAAACTTGCCTCCCAGGGTTTCAGTTGATTTAGTGACATAACAACCTTTTAAACTTCCTGATAGTAATTGAAAAGTGCCAAATGTTAAAGCAATAGAGGATGAGGACAGCCAACCCAGTGGAGATGGCCCCACATGCCTTTCAGGCATCCTGATGCCTTCTAAGCAAATGCCTAGAAGAATTTAGTAGGAGAAGCAACAAAGGAGAGAGCAAGGCTCAATAAAATCTGTGTTTTGATAAAATTAGTGAGAAATACTTTAAGTTCCAATGAGACTCTATATTTACTCACCCGGAGGAAGAACGGGAACTTTCTTCCATAGAAACCAACTCTGAAGAACTCAGGCTCCAGACGTTGCTGCTCCATGATGTTATCATAGTAGGTTGCTTCCATTTTCTGTGAACGGAAAAATTAATGAGCTTCACATGTACTTAACAAACTGTCAGTTTCCAAGTCTTGGCATACAACTAGTTTTTATAGCATAAAATGCTTGATATTTTTGGGAAGGAAGTACATCAGCCACAGCTCATGCAGAATAATAGCTTACATTTCCATAGTTTTTTTACACAAGGGCTTTTTGTATTTGAGGATTGGTATTAGGTAGTAGAATAAAGGTCAGCCATAGTCTTAGATGAAGTCATTCCTATCCTGATTGGTCCTTGACTGCTCACAGCTCAGCCCATACAGAGAAAAGAATAGTGGCAGGGAATGGAAACAGAAATTATTTGATAGTTATATAGTTTGAAATGACTTTCTATACCAAAATCCAGATTTGGACTTCTCCTCTCATATGTAAACCCTTATCCTGCTGCAGCTCTCACTCAGACGGGTAGTGATTGGGAATCATTGTCTTTCCCACCTTCGTTTCTGACCTTTGACATATCTAAGCTCCTCAGCCTTCATTTGAGGTCCATGGACTCCCTCTGGTTGTAGCTGCTGAGGGTGGGGAGAACAGCTCAGCTGCCAGCACACCAGATGTATAACATTCCTAGTCTTGGGGGAAGACTGTTTTTAACCTCAAAAGGTTGATTTGTGTACCATGATAGATAGTATTTCAGTTCACCAAGGTAGTGGGAGAGGTGATTCAACCTCAGCTGTCCTAATTTCAGGCATAGGAAAACTAACCCCAGCTATGTGGGAGGACAACACATGTCAAAATCCTGGATCCTTCATCATCACCTGATTCTCCAGGTCTTCTAGACTAAATACAAACTCATTGTTTAAATTAAATCCAGACCCTGGAATTTCCCCTATCGAAAGGACCAAGGGGCCTGACGCTAACCTTGAAAGGCAGATAGATTTGTAAATGGTTATGATTCTATTCTTGGCTTCTGCTGGCCTACGTTCGATAGCCCCTTCAAAGAAGTGAATCATTTACTTCAACTTCAAAGAACTGCAATTTTGTTGCTGGTTACTACTTCTATTAATTTAGGCTGTAACCTCTCAGGCAACCTAGTAGACAGTCTTCATGAGTTGTTTTAGCCAAAAAATCCATTACCCTACAGATAGTCTGGTGGTCTCTAACAGACCTGGAGTCCTTTGCTGAGTCCAAACCTGAAGACTTTCCTGATTGGCTGACCCTGACCTTCCACAGCCTGCAATCCATAGTCTTCAAGAACCCAGTGTCACCTCCATACCACAATGAGGCACGGGAGTAGAATTCTAGCATAGAAAACAGACAAATAAATAAACTCTGCTTCTGGGCTCAAGCAACAGGTTTGGGATGCCCGAGTGGAAGAAAAGTTAGCTGAGTGGCCAGGACACAGCTCCTTGGGTATGCTAAAGATATTGCTTGAGATTTGCTGATAATTTAATCGGACACCAGAATCCAAGACTTAGGCCAACAACCAGAAAACAATTCACCCACCACAGGCCTCTAAATTCACGGGAAGTTACTCACATTGCCTAAAGGGTACCAAAACAGTTTGGGCTTTGAAGACAGCACTAAGGTTCAGGGCATTTGAAAAATTCCTCTATATCATTTCCAAGTTTAAAACAAAATTTTATTGATGACTTTTTTTTTACATAGTCATTTTTCATAGTCTTCACCATAGGTATCTCCCAGTATATTGACCCCCCCTGCACCTGGTAAACTGTTCCCTTTAACGAAGAAGTACAGTGAAGCAAACCCAGTTAATACCATGGCCACATTTGACAGCATATACCATAGAACAAGCCTGTAGACCCTTACTCTGTACTAAGATCAGGAAGAGGATGTGTGGCCTAGCAAGGAGTTCAGAGCACAGGACTTGCAGTAAGAGGACCAGAGTTCAAAGGCCTGCTCAGCCATTTACTAGCTGTGTGACCTTGGGAACTTGTTTACCCTTTCTGGGTCTCGGTTTCCTCCTCTATAAAAGGAGGGGACTGGATCTGGTGGACTTTATGGACCCTTCTGGCTCTAAAGTCCAGAACTAACAGAATACTCTAGATGACCATGGCAGGGAAGAGGAGGGCTGCTGTTACCTTCCTTGTTCTGAATACTCTATTTTCCTTAGTGCTACTTAAGGTCATGTTAACTGTTTTGCCTGTCACTGCTAAATCAAATTCAGCTTGCAGTCGGCTAAAACCTCTAAATCTTTTTCAGACAAACTTCTATATGGCATGTATGCATCTTCCTATTTTGCATGTGAATCTGACCAGCTCTATAAGTAGGAGAATTTACATTTATCCCTATTGAACTTCATCTTATTAAATTTAGTCCAACATGCTGGTCAAGATCTTTTTGGATTCTGTCTGTCATCTAGTGTGGTTGCTGTCCTTCTTAATTTTGTGTCATCTGCAAATTGCAAATGTGCATTCCTGATGCATTGATCCAAATCTTTGGCAAAACTATTAAACAACACTGGGTCAAGCAAAGATGCCTGAGGCACTTCACTGGAGACCTTCTCCAAAGCTGATGTTGAACCATTAGTGACTACTTTTCATATCCAGCAACTTCCCTAACTCCTGTCATCCAGCCCTTATCTCTTGTTGACACAAAAGCTTAAGGGACTTTGCCAAATGCTTTGCTTTTAAAGTCTAGGCAAACTCTCTCTACAGAATCCCCCAGACCCCTTGGTCTAGTAACCCTACCAAAAAAGGAAATGAGGTTAGTATGGCACGACCTGGTAGAATGGCTGGGGCACTGAATTTGGGGTTAATAGCACTTGAGTTTGAATCTCACCTCACTTCTGAGCTGTGTGACCCTGAGGGGTCATTTAACTAATACAGGTTTCAGTTTCCTCATTTGTAAAAATAGGGATCATGATAATATCTACCTCATAGAGTAGTTGCAAAGATCAAATGAAATTACAGATGCAAACTTTGTAAACCTCAAAATGTCACAATTATTAATATTGTTGGTGCTGACAAAGTAATGCTGAACCTTGTGATCACTGTCTGCTTTTCCAGAAGTTCATTAACCATCCTTTTTCTTTAGGAGTGGTGGAAGGGGAGAGAAAGGACTGAAATTAAGCTCAACCTATAGTTGGAGGTGCCACATTTTTTCAAAATTGGAACATTTGTTCTTGTGTAGTTTGGAGTGCTTCTCCTATTCTATTTAATTTTAAAAGATTACTGACAGTGGTTCAGTAATCACATCAGCCAGTTCTCTCAGTCCTGTAGGATATAATTCATCTGGTCTGATGACTTGAACTAATTAAAGGTATTTAGGTACTCTCCTATTATCTCCCTGTATATCTTGGGGTGCAGTGGATAGAGCACCGGGCCTGGAGTCAGGAAGTCAAATCTGGCTTCAGACACATACTAGCTGTATGACCCTGGGTAAGTCACTTAACTCTGTTTGCCTCAGTTCTTAATCTGTAGAATGATCTGGAGAAGGAAATGGCAAACCACTTCAGTATCTTTGCCAAGAAAACCCCAAATAGAGTCATGAAGTATCTGACAAGACTGATAAACAACTAAACAGCATTGATCTTGGGTTTCAACTCCCTATTACCCATTTTTTTCTGTCCTTTCTTACCCAAAGATTATTGTTCTTGGCAGAGAAGACAGAACCAAAACAAGAGTTAATTAGTCCTGTTTCCTTTCTGTTATCCCTTATCATATTCCATCCATCTATCCACCTTGACCAGCTGTCCTAATCTCTGATTCCCATTTTCTATGTGTCTTTTAAATATATTTTCTAAGTAGTAGATTGGGATCAGGATTGGACCTCTGATTTTACTGGCTTAGGAAGCCCCCAGGGAGAAACTTCCTTCCACTGTTGAGGACTGGTCCTTATATTTTACAAGTATGTGAACAAAAATGATAAAGATGATGATGATTTTTTTTTCGTGGTTTGAATCTGTGACTTCACTGGTGCAAGGAACTCCTAGTGAGGAAACCCCTTCTACCAATATTGATCTGTGGCTATTCTGCAATTTAATAATCTTAGAGAGATATTCCAGGCACTGAGAAGTTAAGCCCAGGGCCACAAGGCAGTATGTATCAGAATTTGAATCCGGGTTTTCTTGACTTTGGAGCCAGCCCCCTATGCACTCTGCCATATTATCTCAATAATAATAATAACAACAAATGACAGCAATAGTTTGGTAATTAACTAAAAGCAGATTTTGGACCTAGTTTCTTGGATACCAAATCCAAATTTGGCTCTTTCCATCATAACATGCAGCTTCTTGACAATGGCCACTTGAAGAAGGTATTCTTAAGGGTCCATCTCATATGAAGCCATTTCAGTCCACTCCTGTCCATGCTGTTCTTTCCCTCGTCTGAAGGCCTACTGAACCTGGAGTCTGTATTGCAATTTGGATTTTAGTTGCATACTGCTTTGTATTGAGGGCTCTTCTTTTTTATGTGTAATAGTCTTATCTCTTCTCCTTTGCTCTGTCTCTCATAGCCTGTGATAACACGGGGCTAGGTCCATAGAAAATGCTCATTAGTACAGCATGGAGACTATTTGACTGGAAAATCATTGACAGTTTTGTAAAGTAAAACTGCCCAGGATTGTGGTACTTTTCCAGAAGTCTGTGTTTGTGGTCTAGAGGAGGGGAAGGCGTGCATTATCTACTTACCCGGATCCAGCTAAGGCTCTGGTAATCATAGAGGCTTTCATACTGACATGCAAGTTCCCGGCACAGTGGAATCCCAAATTCCCAGCTCTGCAACATAAACAAGAAGATGGACTTAGCACTGCAGAGAAGCATATCAAGAAGACTAGGAAGATAGTGTGACAACTCACATCTCCCAGATAACTGACTCCAAACCTAAATGCAAACTGCTAAGTGTTTCTTTTTCAAGATTAACATTTAAGTTACAGAAGTCTATCTCCTGATATGGCCTACGTATCACCAGGTAGAAAATCAAGGCCTATGATTTGTCTCATTGACTTATCCAGATCTCATAAGTTATCCTTGGGGGAAAAAGGGAAGCACAAAATGGGGTCTTCTGAAAACTCCGACTTCAGGAGCCTTGTGGGAATGCCAAATACTACAAAGAAGAGGCAGGCACTGGGGCTGCGGGTTGTTATGGTAACGAGACCATGAAAAGTAGCACACTTGGCTCAGTAAGTGGTGCTTGCTTCTATTTCTGCCCTTCTTATGGGAGCCTGGGTTCCCTCTTTCTTCACACTGGAAGTACACCTGGAATTTTTCCCTCAGTCTTCTCTTTCCCATACTATGTGCAACAGCATCAAGGAGAAGAAAGCACTAAGTACTTCATTTGGGATCAAGTTCCCCACAAATCCATCATGGTTTCTATCCTTTGAAGAAATGTATGCCCTATCAATAAAAATTACACAGCCAGTTAGAGAAGATATAAATACACCAAAATGAGTTACAAATGCTCCCAGGCTCATTGAACCAACACATCTTATACATTTGTACAAAACAGATTAGTGGGCCTTTCCATTATGAAATCAATGGTTTCCAATATGGAATATCCCTTAGTTTCCTCTCAAGCTAGAAGTTATATTTCCAGACAATAGCAAACACTGGGAGACCAACCACAAGAACAATTATGTAAGTGCTGGTTAAATAGTCTGAACATCATACAAACATCCTGGTTTCCTGCCAAGAGCATTTTTATTGAGGACTGCTCACTTAGATGATTTGCGAATGATACTTTTCATTAGGTATGAATGTCTTCTCTGCCTGAAGAGTTTAAATAGTAAAGAAGTCAGATGCTTTATTGCTACCATTGTTATTGTTCTTTTTTTTTGTCTAATGGGCATTTTAACTCTAATTTCAAGGCCTGACCCCAATCCAGAGGCCCTCATAAAGATTTGCAATGTAGCTGACAGAGAAATTATAAAGGTTGTCTTTATACATATGTATAAAGACAACCTTTATAATTTCTCTTCTCATATATATATACACACACACACACACATATATATATGAAGGAGCTAAAGTTTTGGAAGGAAATCTGAGTATTGGGGTTAAGATATTAGCTAGGAAGCTATGACTTAGGTTACTCTACTAGCTGCTGTCACATGTAGGCCAAAGAAAAGAGGGTGCTGAATACCAGTCGTATGATGCTCTTCCGCATGGACTCTTCCTTCTTCCCTGGCCACTTTTTAGTCAAGAGGCAGAAGAAGCTCTTCTAAAACTCATTGAATGCAATCTTATTATTTCCACTAGCTCTGTCAATAGTCTTTAAAACTATGCCCATAAAGGACATAAGTGATATTTTCATCACAAAGAAGGCAAGGCATACAGAAGGGAATACAGAAAAGATGATCTGGTAGATGAATGGCTGGTTAAGAAAATGGAATCCAAGAATGAGATCTGGATTTCTGAACCATGACTTAAAATATAGATAAGCTCTAGGCAGGGATGGAGTGTATCTAAAAGAGGCTGGTAAGAATATATTTGCCTGTTGTCTCACAAATTTCATCAAAGGAGCTTTAAACTAAAAAGGATGGTGAAGGGAGAAAAATGCCTACATATATTCACTGATATGTATGCATGTATGCATACACATGTATGTATATGCCTGTATATATACATACATGTACACATATACATACACATCATAAAGAGAAGATATAACATAGAAAGAATAGTTATTCAGACACCCAGAAACTCACAGGAGACTTAATCCAAGAAGGGAACCAGTAGCAAAACTCATGGCCTCAGACGTTTATGCACAAATACAGAAAGTTTAGGCAACAAGCAAGATGAATCTGCAGTCCTAATACAATTTGGCAAATGTGGACTCTGGAAGGGTATATTTTATTTAAAAGAAACAAGATAATAAAAGTGTCTGGGTTGGGGGAAGCATTGCATATTAAGAAGGTATACTTATGTGAAGAAATCCAGGAAGCTAAGGGAGAAAGCATGGTGGAGACGATCTGGATAAAGATCAGTGTTCTCTTGGTTATGCTCATTTCACTCTTCATTACTTCATGCAAGTCTATCAATGTTTTTCTAAGATCATCGAGCTTATCATTTCTTATAGCACAGTAGTATTCCATCACAATCATATATCACAGCTTGTTCAGCTATTCCCCAATTGACTGGCATCCCTGCAATTTCTAGTTCTTTGCCACCACAAAGAGAGCTGCCATAAATATTTTAGAACATATAGGTTCTTTTCCTTTTTTCCATAATCATCTTCGGAAACAGACCTGGTAGTGGTATTGCTGGGTCAAAGGGTATAGGTCGTTTATGACTCTTTGGGCTTAATTCCAGATTGCTCTCCAAAATGGTTGGATCAGTTCACAGTTCTACCAACAGGGAATTAGTGTAATATTGTTTTAAGAACAACTTTGAGTGACTAAGTCATTTTGACTACTATAAATACTCAAA